GGCCAATTGGTTGCGTGGATGTTGGTAGTTCGGGTGTGCAATTGGTGGAACCGAATCATGATGTGTTTAAGGTAATTGAGGAAAATAGTCCAGGTGTTTAGTTTGTATGTAAAATGAGATAATTAATTTAATTTTGCATTTTTTTGTGTGTGTGTTTTTTAAATAAATTATGTTAAAACTAAATAAGAAAATGATTGTTCAAATGGTAAATTCCAGAATTAACCACAATTAGAAATGTCGTTAATTTGGATTCAGATTTAGATATAGCTCCCAGATATAGTTTCGTCCGATTTTTGGTAAATGGTCTACCAAACTCCCAATATTTTCCCCAGCTATACAAAGTTTTGCACAGCGTACTGAATTAGGTCCAGTTTGATTTCTTTGATATAGCTCGCATATATTGTTTCGTCCGATTTTATGTAAATATTGTCCGATTTCAATAAATATTTGTCCGATTCAAACAAAATGTTGCACAGCGTACAAGATTAGGACCACATTGATGTATACGAATAATAAAGTCATTAACCACAATTAGAAACGTCGTTAATTTCCACCGTTAAGTTCAAAACACTTACCTACATTACAAAGTATCTGTCAGGAGGTTTGATTGTTCTGTAAGAATTTCAGACAATTAATAATAAAAAAATGGTACTCTGGATATCAGTAAAACCATTAATAATCCGAAAATGATGGTAGGTATTTTTTATATTGGGTTATGTCAAGAAATGATCCTATATTTACCCTACACCACTTTGGTTACATACAAGAGATGCTAATATATACACTATTCTGTAGATAGAACAGACATATAATCTTTAGAGGACAATTCAAATAAAATCGGACGAAATTATATATGTGAGCTATATCTAAATCTGAACCGATTTCAACAAAACTTCACAGACTTCAAACTGGACATAATTCAGTAGGCTGTGCAAAATTGCGTCTCAATCGGAAAAATATATGGGGTTCGGTGCACCATTTCCATAAAATCGGAGGAAATTATATATGGGAGCTATATCTAAATCTGAACCGATTTCCACAAATCTTCGTATACATCAATGTGGTCCTAATTCTGTACGCTGTGCAAATTTTTGTTTGAATCGGACGAATAATGGGAGTTTGATGCACCATTTAGATAAAATCGGTCGAAAATATATATAGTTCTCTGTGCAAAATTTTATTTGAATCGGTCAAATATTGGTAGTTTGGTGGACCATTTACAAAAAAAAAAATCGGACAAGACGATATATGGGAGCTATATCTAAATCTGAACCGATTTCCACAAAGCTTCGAAAAATCAATATGGACCTATTTCAGTACGCTATGCTAAATTTTGTTTGAATCGAACAAATATTGGGAGTTTGGTGCACCTTTTACATAAAATCGGACGAAACTATATATGCGAGTTATATCAAAGACATCAAACTGGACCTAATTCAGTACGCTGTGCAAATATATATAAAAATATTGGGAGTTTGGTGGGCCATTTACCAAAAATCGGACCAAACTATATCTGGGAGCTATATCTAAATCTGAACACATTTCTACAAAACTTCGTATACATCATTATAAACATATTTCAACGCGCTCTGCAAACTGTTGTATCAATCGGACAATCTTTGGGAGTTTGGTACACTATTTACATAAAATCTGACGAAACTATATAAGGCAGCTATATCTAAATCTGAACCGATTTTAAAAAAAAACTTCTCTGACATCAAACTGGACTTAAGTTAGTATGCTGTGCTAAAATTTGTTTGATTCGGACAAATATTGGGAGTTTGGTGCACAATTTATCACAAATCGGACGAAACTATGTATGGGAGCTATATCTAAATCTGAACTGATTTCAACAAAACTGCGTATACATCAATATGGACCTAATTCATTACAAAATATGCTTATTTTATAATGGCGTTTGTTAAACTGTTCTCAGTATACATTTGGGAATACTTTTTATTTTAAATTTAAGTTATTTAAAATAAATTAATAAGCTCCTAAAAATATGCTGTAGTTTAGTGTTTTTGTTCACAGTATGATACCTTTCATGACACAATGATTAGCGCAGCTGATGATTTGATTAACTGTCAAAGTGCATAATGAATACATGAATTCGATGTGCAGTGTTGCCAACCATTTGAAATATTATATGGAAATATTTGACAGATAATCGAGACAAAAACAACGGTTTTTGTTTTGATACATCACCTTATTATTGCACCATGATACCTTTCACCACTTTGGGTATATAAAAGACATGTTCGTAAGATTTTTATTGCAAAGAGCATTGCAAGACCATTGACATCTATTGGTGAATCGACTTCAGTTAATCCATAACAATGTTTAAAATTTGTCAGAAACAGACAGACGCACGGATTGACATGCATAAATCGAAACAGAAAGTGATTCTATGGATATTCTCAAAAAGGAACCATGTGTCTATCTCTTCTCCTTTTGCCTGTTTCAAACATATGCACAGAGACATAATACCCTGTACCGAAGTATTGTGAAGAGTATAATGATATATCGCAATAATATGTCTCCTGAAGACCAATAAACGTATTTCCCTAGGTGGTAAAATACTTATTTTAACAAAAATTGATGAAAGCTGCCATATCCGGAAATTGTTATATTCTGAGCACATTTTACAACCGAATTGGTTGTAATTCTACTAGACGTCTTGTGCGTTGATACCATCAGCTTTGTCCTCTCGCCATTTACTGTCAGTCCCATTTTGGCAGGGTCCTTTTCAATTCGTTCAAACGCTCGCAATGTTAGACCCATTATGTCGATGTCATCGGCGTTTGGTGTATAGAGTCCCATTTTTGGTAACCTTTGCATCTCGTATGACAAACTGTCAACTTGTCTGAATCGTTATATATTGAAGGGCTCCGAGGGTTCCTTTCCGACTTTACCTGCTGAGTCACTTTATCCTGCATAGCCATATTAATTTTGAAGGAATGCCGTCACTTTGTAGTCATCGAATAAGTGGAATGTGTCGATGTGCTTTTCCACAATTTGTTGCAGTGTGAAAATCAACCGCGTTGATAAGATCCAATAATATCAAGAATATAAAGGATGAAAAAAAAATAAGAAAGACTCGGGAGGATATTATAAAAATTTCCACATTTGATTTGACTGTCATTTCAAAGATAACCTGCAATATCTGCGAACAATTTTAGGGCCGTCTGTAAAAAAACGTCAATCCATAACTTAAAAACGTGATCTATTGCGAATTTCCCCTTTTAGATTCTTAATATATCCTCTGAGCAACTTCCCAGAGCCATGAGCTCCCCTGCAGGGAATCCAATGGGATATTGGTATAGCAAATAAAATTAGTTGGCAGTAGATTTTTATGATAGTGGGCCGTTTGGGTATGGTGTTACTTTTTCTGAATAGGGCTACAAAAATCCTAAACGATTCAACTATTCAGGTATTGGGCTCACCATCCCAACTGCAAGTTTTCCCAGGATACCGGGAGAAGTCTGTATAAACTTGATGATAAAAAATATTTATTTCTCATTACGATTTCGGAAAAAATACGGAGAAATAAAAAGCAATGGTCCAAAACTTAAATACTTCTGAAATTCGTACCGTTTTTAAGGAAAAAATAAAAACACAATTTATTTATTTTTAATATATATTTTTATTGATTGTTTATTATTATTTTTCGCCAGAGTATAAAAGATATTCAGATGCATTTTTAAGCTTTATTTCTTTGTTATTATTATTGTAATGATTAATATTATTTTTATTATAGAGATATATTTACAAAATATGAGAGTTCAATTCTTGGGCCAATCAGTTAGTCGATTGAAAGCATTGAAAGGATTTAATCCAATCGTCGTCGTCATCTTCGAAGCCATCATCGTCATTATGATTATTAATTGTTAATTGTTAAATTATCTTAAATCTCTGCCTGCCTCTGTTTTTTTTTCTTCGCTTATCCACTCAATGTAGAAGATATCTTAACGAAAAAGAAATAGCAAAACAAATAATAATAAGAAAAAAAAGAATAATAGTAATAAAAAATAAACAAATAACGAAACGAAAATCTAATTTAGGTTTATATAAAGAAATGCATTTTTAGCATCTTATTTTTTATCAAAAACAAAATTAGTTTAGGGAGTTTAAAAAAATACATAAAAAACAAAATATTGAATCATATTAAATAGAATTATATAAATAGACACCCGGTGGACCTGGACCCATAATTCACAAAAAATATTAAAAAAAAACAGATAAAATAGAAAAAAGTTAATACAAAACAGATAATAAGATTATGCACAGAAAAAAAAAAATAATAATAAAAAAATAAAATACATAAACTTAACAATAAATCGATAATTATAGTTATAGGTTTTAATAATTAATTAACATAAGATAATAATCACACACATTCACATAGATGATCCATTTATCAGATCGATCGATTGCTTGATTCATTGTCACATACACAGAAAATAATAAAAATTAAAAAAATAATAATAAAATAAATCATAGAATACTCAATACGCACTCTAAACTCTAAAGCCATTCAATATAATATGTAGTTGTTTCTTTTTGTTGCTGTTATTGTTGTTACATATCGGGCGACTCCACTTGACACTTGTCACACACGTTGTAGGATACATTCCGGATCTTCATAGCGATACTTTTGCCAACATCATCTGACTGTCTGCATTCTCAATACGACTTGGATTGTGGTTACATTTTGGAATTTCGGGATTCTGGTCCTCATCATAATTATAAATATAAAATATCGTTTGTTGTTGTTGCTGGTGTAGTAGTAGATGTCGCCTGTATTAGGGATGGTCATTGGACATGGAGGAATTCTTGAAGGCCAGTTGATGAACGACGGCCTCATTGTTGCTAACATAAAATGCCGAATTCCTCTTGACCTCGATTTTGCTGTTGTTGGTGTTCGTGTTGGCCGAATCGCCCACAATCACTTTACACATGACCATCTTGACTTCGGCTAAGAAGTCGGACAGGTAGCATCATGTGGGTCGGGGCGGTGCATTTTGGCTCTTACGATGCGTGGGTGGTGGTGGTGGCGCACTACGCATACGTGGAACAGGCTTGACATCCAGCGGTTTTGGCAACGGTGGCTTCATCAAATGGGACCTCTGATCGGAGAATGTTGCCATATCGCTGCCAACACCACCACCAACACTACTACCGATGCTTGACGTTGTTGATTGTCGATTGTTGGCGAGTTGTTTAGTGGTCGTTTCGTTTTCTGAGCCATAGGATTTAGGCGTTAATTTCGGTTGGGTTGTAATAACACTGGCATTGTTATTGGCATTTTGCATATCCAAGAGTTTTTTACCCTTCAACGCTGATATCTCATCATCGCCGTCGGATGATACGGAATCATAGGGTGAGGGTGAACGTGAATGGGTCGAGTATGTCTCATCGTCTTCTTGCTCATTCTCCTGTATCATGGTGCGAAATTCTTGTATAGAATCATTGAGGGCCCACAGTTGTGAGAGTAGGGTGAGATCCAATTGGCGAAGTCCAAACTGGAAGAGAGAAAGAGAGCGAGAAAATATAAATTAGAAATCATAGTTACATGTGTAAAAGATATAAATAACATATTTTGAATTTGGATAATTGAAAATGAATACATAAGTAAAAACGTCGTTAAGTTCGGTCGATCCGAACATTTTATACATTGTTTAGGACATTCATAAATGCCGGCTATGCTATGGTAAATGTTTGGTAGGTAAGATAACCAATTTATAGCCAATTTGGTTGTAAATCGTGCCCAAACCCCGCAAAAGAGCGAATAATATGCGGTACCGTTATTTGAGGGCTATCCTAAAATTATAGCGTTATTGATAATATTTGGAACAAGCCCCATATTACCATTACTTTCTGTACAAGTGAGATTGTTGTAATTTGACATTTCAGGTTCTCAGATTATAGATTGACTCCGCGCGAAAAATGTCGATATAGTTCAAAATGTCGAGGGAATTAGCGTTGTCTCATTTGCTCAGGAGATATTTCGCTATATTTCACATCTTCTCCATAGACGTTTAACTGCTGTAAACCAGTAAGGGAAGTTCAAATGTCGGGCGGGCCGATTTTGGGGACATACAAGAGATGCTCATATGTACAATATCCTGTATATAGAAAAGATATAGCATATTTGTAAGACCATTGAAATGGAATCTGACGAAATTGACTTTGTGAAGTACATAGATATTTGAACTAAATTAAAACAACCCGTACACCTACCACTCTGAAATTTATGAAAAATTGAATGTCAATCATTAGCATGAAATCGAGCAAAAATACCGTGACATCCACCATTTGATATGCCGAGCACAGTGGGCTATCCAAAATTTATCTCGACACAAAATCCGATACACGTTATTCTAGGTTTCATTTGGTACGTTGTGCACTAATTCGTCCTAATCGAAACAGACTTTAGCTATTTGGTACACCATTTAGATGAAGTCGGATGAAAATATATATCGAGTGGTGCACCACTTACATAAAATGGGACTAATGTATATATGTGAGCTATATTTAAATTTCAAACTTAACAAAAAACATTCTAGACCGCTGCTCCACGGTGCACCATTTACATAAAATCGGACGAAAACATATATGGGAGCTATATATAAATCTGAAGTTATTTCAACAACCTGTAGGAACTTCAATACGTTGTGCAAAATTTTGTTTGAATCGGACAAATATTGGCCGAGTGGTGCTCGATGGGGGCTATATCTAAATCTGAATCTGAATCCGACTCCAACAAAACTTTGCATACATCATTTTGGCAGTATGGTGCTCCATTTACCTAAAATCGGACGAAACTATATATGGGAGCTATATCTAAATCTAACCCGATTGTCTCCAATTGCAATAGGGTTCGTCCTTGTGCTAAATAAGTGACCTGTGCAAAATTGCATCCAAATCGAATCATAAATCCGACCTGTACTTTGTTCACAAAATATATATGGAAGGACAGACATGGATAAACCGACTCAGAGAGTGATTTTATGCATATTCTTAAAATGAACTATGGGTCTATCTCGATTATTTCTGCCTGTTACAAACACATGCGGTGAAGGATATAAAAAGCTCATGCTTCCCAATAGAAATTGATAGATAAACGCGCGCCAAGTTCGGTATATTGATAACTCTGCTAATATATTACTCTGACCGCATAACATTGGTATAAAAAAACATCCGTCCAAAGTCCGTTATATAGTGGATATAATAAAAAAAATTAACCTACACCGAAACATTTTCTAACGACTTGCTCCGACAATTTTTCCCAAAATATTTTGTCCGAAAATCTTCAAAATAATAAGCTTATGGAGCTATAACTACAACCGATATGAACATTCCTTATTCACTGAGAACTGCTGATAAAACATTCACATATCGAAATGGAGAGTATTTAATTCAATTGTCAATTTATAAAATTTATAAGTCATAAATACAGAAAATTTCTCTTCGACCATTGATAGACAGCTATGACCTAACAGCAATTTGTATATTTTTTCCACCCAGCCTCACATCACATCTTTTATCTACATACCCTCCTTTGACGTTTGCCGTTAGAATGCTGCGCATGCGGCATTCTGGTCCTTTGTTATTATACGATTTTTCAGGTCTACTCCCATGTTTCTCTTTAGAATCGACAATTCGCGCCTCTTTTGCGGCATATTCGAATGATTCGTTCGCATAATGTTTGATTTAATTAAATTACAATGACTTCGATGTTGTTGTTGCTGTTTCTGCGGCATGAGCTGCTGTTTGATTGTAAAATTAAACATTACAATATTTCTTCCGCATTGGCGGTTGTGACAAGGCATTGCCTGCCTCCATGGAAATATGCTTCTTTTTTTGTTTAGCTTTCTTTACATGTCTCCAGAATTGTTGAACAAGCCAAGCACTCGGATTTTAAACGCTTTGATGTAAAGAACGCAAGAAAATTTCAATCTGCGGTCTCAACATGAATGGGGAGATGAAATTAAGACCCGTAAACATTTTTAACCGTTGTCACCGCAGCGGCAACCAGCAGAAGCACAAAACAATTCTAATGGAGATGCATCATAAGATACCGATTGATTTCCATTTGCTGAGGATGTTTTTGCATTTAAATATAGCTAATACCATTTTAATTTAGAGTGGAACTGTTAACGACCCTTGTCAAATCTAAATCTAAGAGGTTTACGTTAAAACCATGCGAATAGGAGGAACTTAAGACACGAGGATACTAATTACCTCCTGGTTTATGCTATACCATTTAGAGAAATAATCCTTCAAAAATAATTAAAATTTGTTAACCTTTAAAGGTCTCGAAATAGTAACAAAATAACCAACCCATTGACATTGAATGTCATCACAAAATGTGTTGTCAATGAAAAAGTGCTTTTTGTTCACTAGTCACATGACATTCTGACCTCACACAACAATTTTGCAACATAATGTATTAATTGACCAATAACAATTACATAATAATATTAGATATTGGTTATTTCCATTGGCTAGAACAAATAGCCATGGCTACAAATAAATCAAAAGACGCAGACACACACACACACCTAGAAATGTGCCTGCCTTGAATGGATAATAAATCTAGCCAAAGGCAAAAAGCAAAACACAATTGAAACGAAAACTCAAACACGACAGACACAATGACAAATCAACAAGAACGACAATGAAATCCAAAATCAATAGAATTTAATCGGATTGAAATTCTAAAACATAAAAAAACTGGTCACCATTGTCGCCCTTCCTACTAATTGAATGAAAACGAAAAGTAAAGGCCTGAAAAACGGTAACATTCAAAATTACAGATTGAGATTGAAATAAATAGAAAAAACGTGTATTAGAATTGAAAAAAAACAAATCGCTTAAAAATTGTTACAACAGTAAAAATAAGTAGTTGGAAGTAATTTATGAATGTTGAGAATTGTTTATAATAAGTAATAACATTAGGATGTAATGACAGAAAAAAATTTAAAAAAAATCAATGCAAAACAATTTAATTGTTGCTTTTTTATAATTGGGCTATGATTGTTTTTTATTTTAAATTTTCTTATTTTTTTAATACATGCCACTTTATGAGACGTTGTAATTCTTCTTCTCACAGATTTTCTAGTCACTGAAAGATTTAAAAATTATACTCAAAAAAAAAAAAAAAATAAATAAAATAATAATAATAAATAAATAAAATCAAGTTCCGAACATTTCACACTACCACCTATTAAAAATATCTAACATCGGTTGAGAATCTTATGTGCGCCTAGATCATTTTTAATAATCTATCAGAAGGTTTTTAATTCCCGGAGAAAACGAAATACAAAAAACAAGTAAAACTAGTAAGGAAAGTAGCAAAGTCGGACTGGGCCGTCTATATGATACTTTTTACCATTTTGGGTATTTTCTACATAGTCTACTAACAGACGTCGCCTTTTCGTAAGAACACTGACATGAAATTGAACGAAAGATATAAAATAACTTTAGTGCACCATTAAATCGGACGAAAATATATATGAGTATAGCTCTCTAAATCTGAACCGATTTTCACGAAAAATATCCCACATCATTATAGAATCAATTCAGTACGCTATGTCAAATTTCGTGCATATCGAAAGATATTTAGGGACTTTGGTTCGCCATTTACATTAAATCTGAATTAAATTTTCCCAATTTTAATAGGTTTCGTCTTGGCCCAAATAAATAAGCTGTGCCAAATTTCATCCAAATCGGATGATAAATGCGACCTGTACCTTGTTTACAATTTAACAACAACAAACGGACGGACATGCATAAATCGACTCAGAATGTGATTCTATGCATATTCTCAAGAGGAACCATGTGCCCATCTCGTTTCCTTTTGCCTGTTACAAACATGTGCACAAAGACATAATACCCTCTACCACAGTATGGTGAAGGGTGTAAAAAGCGACAGTCTGTGTTGCCGACTGAAATATACCCAGGTTTTTTATCGTTTTATAAATGTTTTTTTTTATCAAAGATGTTTCGGATTTAATGTTCATCATTCAATTATTCACATTCACAAATTTATAAAAAATTGGGTGAGGTAACAGAAGTTGTGGACCAATGGGTCCCATCTTCGAACTTGATAAGATAATAGGTTGGTCAAAGTTTGCTTCAAATCGGACATTCCATTCTCCATATAATGGATTTATAAATATTGAAAATGTTGACCATTTGTGGGGGATGCACCAGAAGGAGCTTGAAAATTATGCTTTAATGATGTCCTCTCTATATGGAGGCTATGCCGAAACATATCGCTCATATGCTGCAAGACGGGTATAACTCAAAAAACACCATTTTGCAGAAAATGCATTTTAATTTTCCAATTTACTCACACTTTATATGGGACAGAGGGTTTTCTACAGCTTCTCAATTAGAGTGTGTAAGAGATATCCATATGATTTTTTTTACACCACATAAGGTCTATTATAGCGAATAATCGTGCATCATTAACTCGAAATTCACATTTTTTGAGTTATGCTTCTCTTGCGACAAT